CTCAGCTTGATGTTGCGAGGCCTGTGAGGATACCTTAGCCATCGATGTTTGGAGGGTTGTCTTGTGAAAAATTACTTACGCTAAACCTTGATTCTAAATTCAGAATTCACAGTTCTTCGTGTTGGTTGATAGAATTTGTCGAGATACTCTCCGCCGTACTGCCCGGGCCCTCGACTCTTCCCGGAAGCCGAGTGGGTCCTTGGTCGCCGTGGGCGGCACTGATTTGACGGACCGGGCGACCGGCATCAGCCAGTTGAAGTCATCCAGTCTTGTTCAACGCACCCGTAGCACTGAAACCATCCGCGAATGTATGTATCGTATACCAAATTGAAGCAAGTATCCGTCATTGCAGGCGCTTTTTCTGGGGATGCTCAATCAGATTCTTTAGTGCCAGTGAGAGAATTAGCGCCAAGGTGGCATCACTGCAAAAAGCACCCGCGTCAGTGTTAATTAGATGTCTACTAAGACATCCCCTCAGTTCACCTGAACTGAGATTTAGCGTGGTGAAATTTGTTGACCCGATTGGCTGTGAAAAGCGTCTTTCTTTGTAGTCCGCCTGGTTCATCGCGATTCGCGACCCCTGAATGATAAGCGGCGCTAGAGAGCATAGTGCCGGACGTCAAAGGCATCTATGGATGTCTAAATCCCTGGATTACGATCAGCACTGCAGTTGATCGGCACCAACATTTAGACTGCCAACCAACCAAACAGTAACATGTAGCGATTCGCAACGGTTTCGCGCATCTTACTCACCGAGACCAACGGCAAGCCATCTTAGTGAAGATGAGAGATACTTCGTATTTCTTTAGGTAGCTTGCAGCTCACATAAGCCGCTTACCTACATCTGCGTTGCGTCTATGCTACACAACATTGAAATCCCCGCGCCGGGGACGCAGGAACGTAGGATGGGATTCGTCAACGTCAAGAAAATGCAGCAAGGGTACGAATTGCTCACAAACTCATCCTTAAAGCAATATATGCAACCAAGAGTTGGGGTAGTCCGTTGCGGCTATTGATTCTCATCAGGCTCCCTTCGCCCTCGCATTATCAACATTTGTTGAGTTTGTAACTGCGCAGGCCGCGAGGTGACCAAAACCAACCGGCAATCGGCTCCGAGTCACAGCGTTGGCATACGAGGATCTCCGCGCCATTTTTCTTTTTTGCTTCTGGTCTGGTGTCTGACTATTGGCACCGTTGTGCGCCACGTTTTTCGCGCTTGGTCGTCGAGCTGACATCAAGCTGATAATGCCGGCCGGCGCTTGATTTTGCGGGCTAGGGCGAAGACCCGCGACCCCAGGTCTAAAATCTGACCGCATCGAGCGAAAACTTCCCCGAAATTGCCAGAGCGCGGCAACTACCACCAACGTGCATGGACTAATATTTTTCGTTTAACCAGTTTGCGTAGTCGGACCGCTGCTCCTTCGCTCTAGAACGAAGTCATCTGCCGCGTCAACGCTGGGACACAGCAACCGTTACCGTGGGGTTGGGAGCCTTTTTATTCAAAGCGATGCGTCCTCCGGAGAAAGCTCAACACGCAACTCTCTCAGCCGCAAGAGAATCTGCCATCCTGTTCGGCAATAAGCTGCAGTAGCTATAATCCGAGGCCGCATCTGAGCTGCACATCTAGGCTGCAATAGAACCTCACAACAACAACTATATATAAAGAGACAGGAACCTCCTACTCGTCTCCAATCTCATCTACAGCAACACACTTCTTCAACTTCTCCTTTCCGATCTTACATATTCATACATCAGCCTCAGGTCTCAAGGCTCTTATTCTAGCCCGGCAGCTCAACCCCAACTTCAACATGAAGACTTCTACCATCACCACCGCCCTGGCCTTCGCCCTCTCTGCGGCTGCTGCCCCCAGCGCTGACAGCTACGGAAGCAAGAGAGGCAAGACTTGCCCGACCAACACCGCCCAGCCCGATGGCACCCTCGGCAAGTCCTACGTGAACACCAGCCTGCTGGTTCCCATCTCCAAGAACCTGCCCAGCGTTGCCTTCCCCGCCACCAAGATGGCGATTGTGACCCCCAACGACGTCTGCACCGTCTTCAACCTCGACTTGCCTGTTGCTCAGACCCAGGGCAAGGTCTGCAACCTCGTCTTCGACTTTCCCTCATATGACCAGCAGGCTCTCGGAAAGTACCTCTTCCACGGCCCGGGTACATTCCAGTTCACTGGATACGCCATCGGCGCCGGTGCCGTGGCCGGAGTCACTTCCTACAACAAGCAGCCTGCGCCTGGCCCGAGCCCTCCCAACCCTCCCCCCACCATGACTCCCGGTCACAGCTACGTAAGTCCTGCACCGTCGTCCGACATAGTTCATAAGCTAACATCATAATCTCAGATCGTCAACAGCGCCCCTTGTGGCATTCCCGCCAACATTCCCGGCACTGTTACTGTCTCTGGCAGCCTTTGCTCTCCCGATACCGTCTTCTCTTTCCAACAGAGCAACGACGGCTGCCCTCTTGGCTTTTACGTCGTCCTGACCGATGCTTAAGTCTTCTAAGGCACATGTTGAAGCAAATGTCATGACCGTGGATATAGATCGAGCTGGAGTGTGGTATGCCATGTATCTTATTGACAATACCTGTACATATGGCCTTCTAGAGGGTAGATAGTAATTTGTAAGATCTGGTTATCTTTGTTTGTCATTGGCTTCGCGAAGGGGAACCTTTCATGGAATGTCTCTTATGACAAGTTCATAACATACTCTTTTGTGTCTGACGAAACTATTCAATGGTGGATTCCACTCCTCCTGGCCACGGTCTAATTGTAGCTTACAGACGTAATACATGTAAGCCGAAGGTATCACTGATACAGCCGGATCCAAGACCGCGACTTATTGTTTCCCACAAATAGTATTTTCGAGCTCCAATCGCAACCTCTGGTCAAAAAGAAAAAGGGCAAAAACGAAACAAGGAAGGAAAAAGCACTCCTAAGGCCGAGGCTTTCCACTAGGCTTTCCACCGTGTCTCGCCACTCTCAGGTCATTCTGTGATTTCACAGCCTAAGATGACGCAGCAGAGTGCATGCACCGTGGGGCATAACTCGTATTTGTGGCGCGGAGCGCATAGTTAGGGAAGGGGTCGGGGTCGTCGGGGTTCGCATTATTCTGCACGCGATAGACCAGAGACCGCGGATAGAACTGAGTTCCGCGCCCGCCGAGTGAATCCGTGAGGTTTAGGTGGTATCCATGCGAGTTGTGATCTCTGCCCGAGACAAAAGTGAAGTTGTAGTAGCTATCGGTGCACCATCCCGTCCAAGTTGGCGGAATCGAAGGGCTGTGGTAGTTGTCGCCACTGCTGGACCTGCAGGATGCTTGGTTGATCATGGCGCCGCTTTCGGTAACGATGCCGACGTCGAAGCTGTAGCTTGTAGATGAAGATTTCGGCCCTGACCCAGCATAGAAGTCGTCAATTTTGTAGAATGTTGAAGCTTGACGCTGCTCGTTTGCAGGTGCTGCGGAACCAACACCACAGAATATCATGATAAAAGCAATTTGCTTCATTTGGTGATTGGAACCGAAGGTGGTTTGGGATGAGTAAGGTAAACTGAGAAGGCTGGTCTCTGAATTACATGAAAGGCAGTGACGATGGACGAGAATTTCAGCTCTTATATATTCATGTTAGAATTTGTCAAGAATACGGCCAAATCATGTCAACCCTCATGCCGCTTGCACTTTGGTCTCATGACTACAGTAACGTCTGTGTTGCGGTACAGAGTGAGACTGTTACCTCTTTCTGCAGGCTGTGACGTTATTAGTGACCGCTGAGCTTCTCGCGATGCTCGATGGTGACGCTGTGCAAAACACAATTCGAAAGCCGACAAAACAGCCGCCTCGTCTATGAAACATCCTAGATCACTCCAGAAGTTCGTCACAGATATCGAACGGCGGTGCTGGGTAAAGGGCATGTTTGTGCAATAGGTGAGACTGGAGGAAAGAAGTTTCCTACTAAGCTTTCGAAACTACGAATACGGCTATGATAAGTACTCAATTGCAGCAATTCTGAAGATTGCGCGTGGCCCAGCTGGGCTGCACAAAAAATACTGGACGCTCACTCAATACGCTTGGTCACACTATGCGGGATCGTAGGACGCCCACGACTCGCTTAAGTCGCGGATGATATTACTTCCAAGGTTGTTCAAAACTCACACCCGATTACACGAAACTTGATGTGTCACGTCAAGTCCATAGGACATCACCATAACGATAAGCCGGTAGGCCAGCGATCGAGCATTTATGAGCTACTATGGAAGGTTACATACAATGGCTTGTGATGCCAACATTTACAATGGGGTGCCTATTATCTCATCGCAGACCATCATTGACTGTACATATACCAGGCCCTTCCCTTTTGGGCCACGACAACCTAATCGCAATCGGCCAATTTTGTAACACATTTCTCACTGTATTTTCCAAGTGGAGAGTGTGACCATGGAAAATGGCTGAGCGTTGCCGATGTTACTCTATTAGCGGGTAAATTTGTAGCATGAGACTAGAGACAGCGCCCCTTCTCGAACCGCTGGGGTATGATTGAAGCGCTTTTTCTATGTCGATCATTGTCACGAAATGGCTCGCAAAACCCCCCTTTCCGGACTGAATTGACAAGAAATTCACAACATACCATCAGATTAAGGTATTCTCTATTGGTGGGATTTGTATTTGAAAATTCACGGGAGTCAGTCCTGTCTGTCCTCTTATGGCGTTCTTCAGGTTAATTGACGGTCCCTTGCCGGCACCTGAGTTGCCGACCTCGCGACCCAATGATACCGCTGCAGAGTCCGATGGCCTCGCATCAACCGCAAAGAACCCGAAAGATTCGTTCATGGCCAAGAAGCACTACATAAAGTCAGAGGATATTCCCTATGACATGAATGAAGTTTGAACTCTGACTTCCATCACACCGGCTCTTATTTGGGGATCCTCACCCTTTACCACTAAACGATGCGGTCTTCCACCCTTTTTTCGGTGGTCGTGATGGCACTCTATGCCATGGCGCAGACCTTCACCAATCCAATAATATGGGAAGATCTCGCCGACAACGAGGTCCATCGAGTGGACGATACTTTCTACATGACGGCTTCGACTATGCACTACTCGCCAGGCGCTCCCATCCTGCGGTCCAAAGACTTGGTCAACTGGGAGTATTTCAGCCATTCGGTGCCTTCCCTCGACTGGGGTACCAAGTACGACCTGGTCGATGGTCAGAGAGCTTACATCAAAGGCATCTGGGCATCTTCCCTTCGTCATCGGGCGAGCAACGGTCTGTGGTACTTTGTTGCTTGCATCGAATTTTCAAAGACGTACATCTACACGGCTTCGAACCCTGCCGGTCCCTGGACAAGAGCGGGCACGATCGACAATTGCTACTACGATGTGGGTCTGATGTTTGACGACGATGACACTCCTTATGTGGCTTACGGAAACACGGCTATTTCGGTTGCCCAACTGTCGGCCGACGGTCTTTCCGAGGTCCGCTCGGAGGTTGTATACAACACTCCTAGCAGCATCGGTGCCTTGGAAGGCTCTCGCATGTACAAACGAAATGGCAACTACTACATCTTCCTCACCCGACCGCCTGATGGGCAATACGTGCTCCAATCCTCCAGCCCGTGGGGTCCGTACACGGTCAAGGTGCTTGCTGACAAGCTAAGCCTTACTGCTGTGCCTAGTGCGGGCTCGCCTCACCAAGGAAGCCTAGTTGATACACCCAACGGGGACTGGTACTACATGGGCTTCGTGGATGGATATCCAGGAGGTCGCTTTCCAGTTCTTGCCCCAATTACCTGGGGCAGTGATGGATTCCCGTCTCTGACACTAGTGAACGGCCAATGGGGAGACTATCCATACCCTCTTGCAAAAGTTGATGTCCAAAGCTCTCTCGGCACAGACTCTTTTACGGGAACGACCCTTCGGCCTGAATGGGAATGGAATCACAATCCTGACACAAACGGCTTCACGATAAACGATGGACTTACTCTCCGTACTGTCACTATCACGTCCGATCTCTATCAAGCCCGTAACACTCTCAGCCACCGCATTCGAGGCCCCATCGGAACTGGCACAGTCCGTCTTGATGTCGCCAATATGGCTGACGGTGATCGTGCTGGCCTCGCAGCGCTGCGCGATCAGTCTTCGTTGATCGGGATTGAGCGTTCCGGGGACGCGTACGACATCATTCTCATGGGCGGTATCGACATGAACTCGGATTGGACAACGGCTTCGACCGGCACGGTGGTGCAGCGGCAAAGCCTTACGCTCAGCGGCTCGAAGGAAGTCTATCTGAGCATGAAGGCGGATATTCGGCCTGGAGGAGCTGGCAATGTCGTTTTCAGCTACAGCACTGACGGTCAGACCTTCACAACTCTTGAATCGTCATTCTCTCTTCACAACGATTGGCAATTCTTCATGGGTTACCGGTATGGAATCTTCAACTATGCTACGAAGGCTCTCGGAGGCTCTATGCGAGTTGTGTCGTTCACCAGCGAAGCGTAGGTGACGAACAAATGACTCGGGCTTGAAGGGCTGAATGTATATATTTCCCCCTTCTTGTAGATATCTTATCAGATTTACCAGAGGAAATATCATTACTTTTGTTGCGATCAATGAGCACTGGGCTCACATTGTGTGCCGATCGCCCTGATCAATGACACCGCACCATATGGTTGTTTGACGATCAGCAACTTTGTCGTCTCGGCCCGAAGCGGGATCATTCGATTCATCGTCCTGGAATTTGACCTCGGCCTACGAATCACACCCGAATTTAGGCGCCCGGGGCGCAGACACTTTCCACCAAGGCGGAGAACGATTGTGTCATTCACAGACCCATTGTTAATTTTCAATGACCAAGCTAAATCCATGTCTCTTGGCAATAAACTCCATTTTGTAAGCTCATAGAACCCGTAATTCAAGCTGTCAAATAGCACGTGAACCCTTTGGGTTGGACGATCCCCGGTTCGCTCCGAGAGATTCACAAAGCCTCATTGGTGCGCATCCTTGACTTCGGCAGCCAGGACTAAACCTTGACTAGGTTCATCCCCACCTCAACCCCAGATCTCGACGGCACTTAGCCATAAACGCGGGGAGGGTAACATTGCTCTCGGTCGAGCTATCCCCGACCCAACGGCTTTTCTTCCACGCAGTATGAGGTCACATTGTCAGTTGCGCGAAAACATAGCAACCCAGACGCGCCAATGATCACGGTGTCGTACCTGCACATCCCGCCAGCTATCCCCAACAGGGCCACTCTACCGGCTTGGGGGTGGATTCCAATCAGATGTTTACGAGTCACGAATCAAGCTTGCCTCCACGCAAGCTGAGCTGGTGATGATGTTCTTGATTGATGCTTCCTTGGCGTGACGAGGAAAATTGACCCCTCTCAAGCTTCAATAGCGAGATATATAAGCTAACCCCGCTGTACAGAAGCTATTAGCTGTCGTCCCCTTGCAAGGCACTTGACTCCTACCCGTCGGTCCTCCCCTTTTCTCTAGATTCGCCCGGTCGATCCTCTCCGTCCTAACAAAATGAGGTTCTTCGGCGCCGCCGTCGCTGGCATCGCCAGTTTTCTGTCCCTTCAGGTCGCAGCGAGCCCCCTTCCTACTCCTGTCGAGGCTCGCCAGGCCACCGGTACCGTCTCGAACAAGGTCATCTTTTCCCCGCCGACCGACGCCGGTTGGGTTGACCCTCGCGTTCTGTACGCTCGCACCATCCAGCTGAGCTCGGGCGACCTGATCGCCACTTGGGAGAACTACTCTCCGGAGCCCCCGATCGTCTACTTCCCCATCTGGCGCTCTTCCGACGGTGGTAACAGCTGGTCGGAGATCGGACGCGTCCAAGACACTGTTAATGGCTGGGGTCTTCGCTACCAGCCCTTCCTCTACGAGCTCCCCGAGGCCTTTGCTGGCTACCCTGCTGGCACGATCCTGCTCGCTGGTAACAGCATCCCCACTGACCTCAGCTTAACCAAGATCGATGTCTACGTCAGCACTGATGGTGGCGCCAACTGGGAGTTCCTGAGCAGTGTCGCCAGCGGTGGCGAGGCCCTCCCTAACAACGGCCTGACTCCTGTCTGGGAGCCTCATTTCCTGTAAGCAACAAGCCACTGACATCCTACCGTGAAAACATTTGCTAACCGCACTACTTTCACAGCCTTCACAACGGCGAGCTCATCATCTACTACGCCGACCAGCGCGACCCCAAGTACGGCCAGAAGCTTTCCCACCAGGTGACTTCGGACCTCAAGTCTTGGAGCGATCCCGTCGACGATGTCAACGACCCCAATGCTTATGAGGCGCGCCCCGGCATGCCCGTCATCACCAGGCTCCCCAACGACGACTTCATCTTCGCCTACGAGGTCTGCGGTACCGATGGCTGCCGCGTGCACTACCGCCTGACCAAGGACCCTCTCAACATTCTCGCGGCCCCGGGCATCTCCCTGGTCTCCAGCGCCGGCACCCGCCCCGTTAGCTCTCCATACGTCGTCTGGACCCCTCTCGGTGGCGAGAATGGCACCATCATCCTCAGCGCCGGTAGCCAGTCCAACATCTTTGTCAACCAAAAGCTTGGTGACGCCAGTGCTTGGGTCGAGTATGCTGTTCCCCAGCCCAACGCCTACTCGCGTGCGCTTGAGATCCTCGGAGATGGCAGCCAGCTTGCGATCATTGGTGGAGGAAGACTGCCTCCTAGCAGCACCAACCAAGTCAGCATTAGCGTTGTTGACCTTAATGAGCTCCTTGGCTTGTAGATGCCATGGAGGTAGCGTAATAACATTGTAGAAAACGAAGAGACGCGATATGATATTTATACATGATTTGCCTATCGTAAATCATCGGGGGTATCTCCACATGTGCGACATCCAAGATCTACCAGCATCTCAAAAAGGCATGCCTAACATTACACCCACAATGGCGGCGAATGTCCAAGCAGCGGCAGACATTCCCGCTCTTCCGCCAGAGGTTGTGACTCTCAAGCCAGCGGCACTGCTCGAGCCTGTCTCCGTGGGACCAGCCGCGCCACTGCCTGTCGTAGAGCTTGTGACATCGGACGCTCTGTAAACCAAGGTAACACCTTCTCTTGCTGCGATAGGAGCGTACATGTCCGTGTAGTCACGGTCACGGTCGAAAATCGTTGTGGTAGTCGAGTAACTGTCGTCCGGCGGATATGTTCCAGTGTAAGTAAGAACCTCAGCGGTAACAACTGTGTTGTTGTAAGTGAACGTGGCGTTCGCAAATGTGTAATACTTGTCCTCGGTAGCCGACTGCACGTAGTTGCACCCCGTCATCGGATCTCCAAAGAGTGACGAAGGCACATTCGAGTAGCAGCGACCCCCGCCCATGACGTCTGCTGTGTATCCCCTTGGCTCGATGTTAGATAATCAAAACGGCTCTCCTGATCACAGGGAGGAGAGCACTTACTCGGGACAGCATACAACAGCCGTTTCCCCATCCCCGATGGCCTCCATCAAAACATTGTTTGGTGGGTTCGATGACAGCATATCCCGGTACCAAGGGTCGGTGACGACCGGAGGCACAAACGCACCAGAGGAGCTGACATCTCCAGCACCGTTCTTGGCGGCCACCCCGGCAGTCGTGTAACCCTGTGGGCAAGCGCTTGCTGGTGAAAAGTAGTAGATGGTCCCTGCATTGGCGAGGTTGCTGGCACTGAAGGCGGAAGACCATGCAGTGTCAATGGCCTTGCCAGAAGGGTAGCAGTCTCCATAATTACGGGTTTCGCATTTTTGAGCCCATTGGGGCCATACGAGGCCAGAGTCGTTGTATGCGATATAGAGCTGGGGCGACGGCGTGGCACACGATGCTGGCGGTGTCCAAACAGTGGTCATGGGTCCAACATTGCTGAATACATATTGAGAAAGCTGTGTCGAGGTAGCGGACGGCATGCTGGGCGACTTGGGCGCGAAATCGTCAGTGCTCTCTGTGTTTCTGTGAGTATTTGGATGAACACTGAGATGTCGAGATGAGCGGAGAAAGGTTTCTGCAGAGGGAAGCAGGACATTGTCTTTTTAAGCTGTAGATTTAAGCATGAAAATTAAAGAACCAACCGGGCTTGCGGCAACCCAAAGCTTGGCAACGATCAAGCCAATCTCATCGCGCAGTCCAGTTCATATGATCGTGCCCTCGCCCGAGAAGGAAAAAAGAGACGCATTCCGGGCGAAGAACCCTTGCTCAGTCGGGCCGCTAGCCGCTGTGCCGCACTAAACATGCCAACACCACAGGGCTGTGTTGGTTCTAAATGCCTCGTGACACATGAATTAACCAACTGCGATTCGGATTGCCAGCTCAATGTGAACGCCTTCGGTGGCTCAGCGGTGTCGAAGCTTTTTGCGACAGGTTAATAGTCGCGTCGATTCGGCTCAAGAAACCGCGTTTCGGGCGCAATATCAGCACTAAGCTGCTTTTCGAACAAGCAAGTGCTATTGATGAGACCTCTCTGGGAACGGAACTCGACTAAAATTTCAGAAAAGCCCCCTCTTGCCCAACCTGCGGCACAGCCGTTAAGCGAGATGACCTCGGAAGCAGCGCTCCAGCCTAAACTCGTTGCCTCTGCTGCTCGTTGGAAAGACGACGACTTTGCTTCTTACATAAGCTTGAGTCAATCACGGATACGATACCCGAGCTTCATCATTTTTGTTTGTTAATTTTTGCGTCCCCTTGTCTCCAGTATCAGTCACGAGCTGAGAGCAAAAGCAGGCCGAAGCAGGTTCGCGCAAGTTGGAAAGTATTGTTTGAACTGTCTCTCAAGATTCGGTACCAAACCAAGGATTACAAATGTCATTCGAGCTCGAATGTCTGGCTTACAGCGCCGTTCTCTGCGCGATTTCCCGCTTCATCATCGGGCTACGACAGGACATCAGGCTCAATCATCCTATAAACTTCATCACTACAATTGATGTGAGCCTTCGGATATTTACAATGGAGTTTCTGATTCCAGTGTAATATCTGACCCAGCCTGACCGATGACGATCGAATAGGGATCTTGCAGTTATTCAGCCTCCGTGATCGGCTTTTGGCAGCTCTTTTGCTCCTATGCGCCGCACCATGAAAGGCACGACTTGTGATGATGATGCCTAATTACTGATCACCTTTGACTTAATCAAATCGACGTGCGACAGTGATAATTAAAGCTGACCTATAGAAGCTTCCATCTCAATCGGCGAGCAATTTCTGCCTTGGGCGTTTCATAGAGGTTGAGCATCTTTGGATATGCATGTAGTGTTTTAAGGGACTAAATCTGTCGTGGCACAAGGAGCAATTGCCAAGCGATACTTATGGTATTCTTTTCGCGACACAAGCCCACGCGTGGCATCATGGAGATCTAAGAGGCTCGTAGTCGAGGAAACAACGAAGGGCCACAAACGTGGCATGCTTACAAGAGAGGACCCAATGTTCCATTCCTGCTCAGATAGCTCACGCTTGGCCTGCAGGAACTATTGAAATATCGCGGGGAAATGCCACTCGGATTACTTCTCGTCTTATACGTGCAGCGTTGTGGCTGATGTCAGCATGCTCGCCCCTTTGCGCTAAGGTGACATCGGACTGAACACGAGATCTTGGCTTGAGCTGAATCGACCCAAAGGCAACCTTTGACGAACGCCAAGTGCGGAAGGAGCCAGGAGGCCAATTGCCGTTGCAGCGGCCCCAGTATTGTATGTCGATGTTTTCTAGCGGCTCCGAGGGGACTGCATTAGCGACGCCCACGTCGTTCCATTGCCAAGAGTATGGCGCAAATCTCTATTTTCCAGGTAAACATGTCGTGATCTCACTCACATATAGGACGAACGGTTCCCGTCGGTCGGCGAGACTTTTGGGCTTGCCAAGTCAACCACCCTCACAATCAGAGCCTCAACTTGGAAAGATGGTGCACTTGAAGGCGCAATGTCTGTTGGCGGCGGCATGCGGTGCAATGGCTGTCGCTGCTGCGTGCACAGCAGACCTCCTGGTGGATGATTTGTCCAACTCATTGTCGACAAACCGAAACAATCTCGGCTCGTGGACGTCAGGTTAGTACGCGGACTATTTTTCGAACCCCGCAATTCACTGACCTCAATAGACGATGGTAGCATGGCCAGCATCTCCGCGTCTGATGGTATCCTGAGCTTCACACCCCAGAGTGGAGCTTACTTCTACGAAACGTTCCCTTGCCAGGCGCTGCAGACCGACTCGTACTCTCATGCACAGCTTGAGATCAAGGCACCCGTTGCGGGCGCAGCGTTCACAGTCCAGCTCTCGACGGCTACTAGCTGCTCGGCAACGACTAACACGAAGACATCTTATCGTGTCACGAGCCTTACTGGCGGATGGCAGACGCTGCGCATCCCTTTGAGTAGCTTTACTGGAGCGAACCTCAACGCGGCCGTCTCTATTGTCATCGAGTCATTTTCGTCTACGGAGCAATGGCAACTTGACAAGGTCTCGTTCGTTTGCGGCCAGACGCCAACAACCTTGACTAGTGAGTACGAGTCAACTCATTTCTCGTGTTGTTGATGCTAATCATACGTCCTAGCCTCTACACCTGCCCAAGTCACTTCTACATCGACTCTATCCACAGCTATATCAACCGCTTCATGTTCGCCGCTTCTGGTGGATGATTGGGCATCACAGTCACGCCTTGACTTCCTCGGATACAACGCTCTCCTGCTGCCGACGGGTGACGATGATACCATGCAATCCAGAATCGTCAGCAACAACCACATCACTCTGACGCCAAAGTCTACCGATGCCTACTTCTTTTCGCAAGTCGGATGTGTAGATGCTACAACGTACGGCGGTGTATCGGTCTGGATCAAAGCCCCCGCCGGCACGACGTTCAAAATCGAGTTGACTTCAAAGACGACTTGCGACGGTGCGATTACGGCAACGTCCATTCAAACGACAGCTCAATTGGGTTGGACCTTTGACGGAACAGAGAAGCTTTACAGTTTCCCCTTCTCTAAATTCAGCGGGCTCAATTTGAGCAAGCTGAGATCAATCGTTCTCTCGGCGCCCAGCAACGCGATCACCTTGGGCCCACTATCACTGTATTGCGGAAGTACCCCGAGTGGTTGGGTCGTTCCCACGGCCACTAGCCCAGCAGGACCAACATCGACTGTCCCGGCACCAGCCGCAACCGCCTCTGCGCTTGTCATCGACACTTTCAGCAGCTCGAGCACGAACTCACTTGGTTTCTGGCATGGTGGCGAAGACATGAACCTCTCCTGGGGCTCCAGTCGTCTCACCATCAGTGCTCCAGCCTCCGATTACGCCTTCACGTCACTACTTAGCAACGGTTGTCGAGACTTGCGCGGCTACAGCGGCTCTTACTTGCACATTGCATACTCGGGTCACACAAAATTCTCCGTGGCGCTGCAGCAGCACAATTCTCAATGCAACTCAGGTGTGGCACCATACCCTGAGACGAGGGACAGTCTTGAAGCCGGCCTGTACGCGACTGGTAGCGATATTTACATTCCTATTTCGCATTTCAACATCAACCTGCAGCGTGTCAGCAGCGTTGCCATCAGAAGTGTGTACAGCACTGAGCCCTTTGTCCTGACCAAGGTCGAGATTGTCCCTTCCATCCCCTCTGGCGTGAGCATACCGTCAAAGCTTCCTTCGGGAACACTCGTCTTTTCCTGCACAAGGCCCAACTCGTTTGCATTCGGCATCGATGACGGGAACCCAAGGTACTCTGCCAGGCTGGCGCAGATCATTCGCGACGCGGGCATCAAGGTGACATTTTTCGCTCTCGGCGCGGTGCTCGAAGACGACTCCACTGGCATGGCCGCCCTCTACAAGCAACTGAAAAGCGAAGGCCACCAAATTGCGCTTCACTCGTACACGCACCCGAGGATGGAAGAGCTTCCGAGTAACGCTGCGATCGACTGGGAATACAACGAGGACTACAGAGTAATGAACAACATTTTCGGCGAGAAGTCCAATTACTTCCGCCCACCTTACGGCGTGGAAGGCGCGCGTATGCGTCAGCGCTGGGCAGCCGCCTCGGGGTCAGAGAAGCCAGCCTATCTCATTAACTGGAGCGTTGATGTCCAGGATTGGCTGTGGGCTGAGACAAGCACGCCTGAGAAGCAGGTGGACGCGTTCAACTCTGATGTTGCGAAGGGGGGCAACTTAGTAGTCATGCACTTTTCGTACAACTCGACGGTGGAGTACTTCCCCGAGTTCATCAAGCAGGCCAAAGCTACCGGTAAGCAGATTATGCGGATCGATCAATGTATGGAGGACCCGAACGCACCCCCGCTGTGATTGGTGTGCAGAACCCCAGGTCCCAATGTAAAGGCCAACAAAATAAGGAGTCTAGTATGAAGATAATGCCCTATGTTAGTCACTTCTGATAAGCATTAATACAAAATACTTATGGTATATTCATCAATGAGAACTACGCTTCTGCTACAATCGAATGGTAAAGCCTTGTCGAAATCTACCTCCACCCCGTTGGCAATTAAGAATTTGTTTAGTGCGTTGATCGACACTTTTTTGTCGTCCACTGTGGACTAAAGCATAACTACTTTGTGATCCTTTCAATGCACGAAACACTCCCCGATGTGCTCTTGCTGTACATTTCCTACTGTGCACTCTCTGACAGGGTGGTTTATGAAGCTCCCTCAAGATATCTACACATAGCTGAACGCTTACGTCTTCTTCTGCAATTTCATGCAAGAGTGTGATCACTGCGCCATCCATGGACATAGGCTCGTTCGCCCAGCTAGTGTGATAGACAACCAAGACGAACATACTTTGGATTAAGCCCCCAATTTAGTCAGTATTCAGAACTCTTGTCAAGCCAATACGCCTTTCCATTGATGGCAAATGTCTCCGCCGCCAATCCACACTTCGTCGTGGCCTCATCATTGCCCGCGAAACTATCCATTCATCTTTGCAGTTCAGGTGGGCCCGAGCCGACGCCCGAGTGCGGAATTGCGGCGCAAGGCCTTGATACAGGGCATGGGGGCAGTTCGCAGCCGAGGCGACCTTGGTTTCTTGGACACAGATGTTGCCAGGCTGAACGATGAAGATGTAGACAGGCTCTATGCTCGACTCGTCAACCTGTGATCAACTATAAATAAGGGGCCATTTTCCCTGGAAGTTGACTTCTTTGTTCTACCAGCAAGACATTCAGTCCAGTTTCACTCACTCTCGATCCATTCTCTTCAATCATCTTCGCAGAGCTCTTCAATATGCGCGCCTTCCACCTAGCTGCGTTATTGCCTGCCTTTCTGGCCGTTGAGGTGAGTATCTTCTACTCGAACGCTTCGGAAGTCAGACTGACCACGAACTATCTAGGCATCAGTCCTCGAAGCCCCCATCCCGGGATATGAAGTTTACGTCCCAGAATGGGAGGTCCAGGCTACCCCGGGTGGCCCAACCATAGTTCTGAACGGCACGGTCGAAGAAGTCGTCGACAAGCTTCATGAGATCAACCCCGACTACGAGGAACTCCTCAACTCGACCATTGAGCAGTCCGCAGCTTTGCAAAAGCGAACCGACTTTTCAGGCACTCAAGTGTTCTGCGGCAACTTTGGCGCCGCTGAACGTGACAGATTCTTCGCCGGAATTGGCTATCTCCGGGGCGTCGGAGGACGGCCCTCTAATGGCGCTGGTCCCGGAAACTGCGGCCGTGTCAGTTGCTCCTGGAGAGCTGCAATCTGGTGGTGCAATGACGTAAGCATTGAGTCCAGCAACTCCAACATGGTCTAAGTAGTTACTGACGCTCTGAAATGAACAGGCCCGAGGCCAGAAGACACTTTCTTCGTACTCCTCCATCGCCGATGGTGCATCGCGTGTGCTTGAGGTGTGCAGGGGAGATCCCCTCAGTGGTCAAGCATTCCACCCTACCGACTGGAACGTCGTTCTTCGACAAGACTCGTGTTGATTCGGCATACATTACCGGCCTTGACGCAAGTAATTGACGGGATCAGCTGCGTCAGCAAGCAGTCGCACCTCATCAGTAAGGCTGATGCAGAGAGTCGGGAACTTTACCATGGTAGCGAGAGGCCTGGACTGAGATACCAGGGTGTGACTCGCGCTGGGTTTGCTCGTTCACACACTCATTTACAAAGAGAGTAGGGATGGCTGCCGAGATTCCTGAAATGTTTGGGTTGATTCAGGCAATGACACGTCTTGAAAACTCTTCGATTACACGTATTCATTGTAAACAACCCTGGCTGCTTCGTATCTCCTATATTTCAACGAGCAACATACATTCATTTTAACGACACAAAAATCATTGAACTCTGGCCTCGATGCCACCCCTTATTCTGATAGCGTCGAGAATGCCACTCACATACAGTTACAAGCGTCCGTCCCGAACTTTGACTGTTCTTCTCCATCCCACGAAGCTTCTCTCTCCAGACCTTCAACTGTTGAACCCCTTCCTGTGACACTGAGTCGCGGAGGTTCACCCTTCGGGTATGGCTGGAAAATCTGTCGTGCAAGTTACGATGATTTGTGATTCCAATGTTACGCTTGTTGCTTTTCAGTGTGATTGGATGCTGTAGAAGGGGTTGATGTAGGAGATATTCTGCATGAGAGTTGGATGTGTAGGGTGATTGCCAAATCAGTTGACTGTACTTTCCATTATCGAAATCAAATTCGAGACGCCTTTTTTTCTTGAAGACAAGTCAAAACCATCCTCTGCTAACCAACACATCGGGAAGCTGACCACTTACTTTCATGCTGTACCGTCAATCCGACTCAAGTACTGTGAACAACCGGCAGTGAGCGACATTGAATGGTGTTAGCAAGCACGCCATTATCACCGCTCACGATTGGTAAAACGCTCAATTCAATGTTGATGGAACTCTTGAATGCTGATTCCCAGCAAATGTCAGACGAAACAATACCTGATAAAAGGGTTCCCTATGGCGACTGCAGATTGATGGCTTGCACCACCACATGAGGAGTTGAAGACTTCTAGAGAGATTCCTTATCGATCATGGTTTGACGCATTTGGAGGATGTCAACAATTAAAACCACGCCCTTATCCGAGAATGGTGGTAGTGAATGACAAATGCGAGGCTGCCGAGTCTCGGAGAGATTTGATCATTATTGGGCAGCGAGTATCCGTATGTCTCTTTGATGCCCAAAGTTTCCCGGCTGGACTTGCATCATGGACAGGGGGCGTCAGTACAATGCGAAATGAAAAGCAATACTCGCAGGCAGCCTGACTTGGCACTGAATGCTTCTTTGTAATTGAATTATTTAGTCGAAGTACATAGAGGCCAGGTAATAATGCCTAACGCAGAATGGATATCGCAATGCTTTTTCTCCTGCCAGGGTCCCAGTTTCCAAATATCACCCGTATCCGACCGATGTGGTGATGAATCCTTCTTCCCTTCTAACTTTTCTCCTTCGTAGTTTGCCGCCCAGAGGTATACCTTTTTAACTACTGTATAACTCTAACGGGGAAATTCTGAACTATCCTAGCCTTCGAATATTTCCCCGTTAAAGTTATATAGTAACGAAAAGAGCATACCTCTAGGCGGGAAACTGCGAAGGAGAAAATTTAGAAGGGAAGAAGGATACTCATAAATACTGTGGTAATAAAAGGAGCGTCGTGATTGAATCATTAAATCGGCCGTGTGTGCATGATCATGCATGCATATTTGTCCCCCGCCTGTGGGTCATAACCCCAGGCACCCCCTAAGAATCCTATCGCAGACCATCTCAAATTTGCAGAGCGCCAAAGGTAGCAGCAGAGAGCAGCAGGGCGCCAATAGTCATGCCCAGGGTGCTCACGCCAGCGGGGGCATACACCCCGGGCGCAGCGTTCGCAGAGCTGCTGGAGCTGCTGCTGGAGCCGCTGCCACTCGCGCTCGCCCTGCTGCCGCCGCCGCTCGCGACGATGCTGGCGCCGGCGGAGGCCGGGGGGTTCGAGTTGCCGGTGGCAGTGGCGGAGGAGCTGACGTTGCCGCGGCAGAAGACGCCGGTGTCGGGGGCGCCGTTGTCGAAGAGGCACTTTGTGAGTTCGGCGACGGTCTGGTCGATGGCGAGGCAGTAGATGCCGCAGTTGTCGTAGTAGCTGACGACGTCGGCGTCCTTGCAGCAGGCCTTCATGATGTCGGTGTGGTTGCCGCCGTAGGGCATCGCGCAGTTGGAGTCCTGGATGGGGGTGTCGTAGAGGTTGGAGGAGCAGATCGCGGTGGAGGTCGCGGCGGCGCCGGAGGAGGTGGCGGTTGCGACGGCGGAGGTGGACATTTTGGGCGGTTTGGTTTGATTGATTAAAAGATTAGACTCGTGATGGTGAGTTTGTGGTGTTGAGGAGGCGCGTGAAGCTGGACAGCGACTGTGGATTATGAGTGAGTGGGTGATGAGAGGAGGAGAACAGTGCGGCCGACACAGAGGGGGTGGAGGAGGTTTTGATTGAAAGGACTCTTCTTTTCTTCTTCGTTTCTTTTTACCAAGTTTCGCCCTGGTCAGGCGAGTCCGTTCGCATAGCACATCCCCTTATTTAGTTCCCCATTATTTTGATCAACACGAAAAGCCGTCGAGCTCCTGTTGGATCCTCCTGTCTCCAGTCTGACGTGTGAAAGCCGCTTCCCCCGGCAAGCCCACAAGCCTTCAAGCCTCAAGCCGTTCCGCAGCCCCAGTTTTCCCTCCTTTGCCTATTAATATCTGTGTTGGTGATTGGGAGATTTCGGTCTTTAGCGTGTCAGTCGATCCCCCGTAATGGCGTGTTGTGGGGACGCCGCGTCTAGAGAGGCCTGCCAACGGTGCCACCGCGTCGTTTTTTTGTGTGGTGGTGAGTTGACACAGCCACGGCTGCCCGGCAACCGGGGTACGTCGCCGTGCCACCACCGGCTTGTCTAGTCTCTTGGTACGAATAGAAGAAGGGCCATGTCTATCCCACCGCTTGCCAGGTCTTTGTCGTCCATTTGATCAGCCAGTTCGGTCCCCGTGGACTGCGCCGGCTCGTGTCGAGTATGGAGGCCAATAGACGGCACCGCCAATCAGCGGATTCTTTCCCCTGAGAAAAAGAACAGACGGCCTGTCATCTGAGACCTTTTTGTTCTCCCTGGGCTTGGGATTCAGCTGCCTGACCGGCTCCCAGCGGCGTTGTCGGGCAGTGCAGTGAGCGAGAGCCGGCTGACTACCTACCGACGGGATGCGAGTACAGAGCACCGCGTTCGCGTGTGCATGCATGCAGGGCGAGAAAGGCTTTCTGCATCGCTGATGATGGGGTTGGTCGGGTAACCCCGAAAAAACTTGCTTTTGCGGTTGCATGACATCCAATCCTGCTTTGTCCCCCGGTCGGCAAAAAATCTTGGGGGGTTTGGTGGAGTCTGCCGTTCATGCCGTGTGGAGCGGCAAATCGGTGCCGGACCTGCTTTTTGCGTGTCCTCGGCACACTGCTCTCGCCCCGATGGAAGTGGCCCCCGGCCGCTGCCGGATCGGCTGGCCAGACGCAGGTACCGACTCTCGGGAGGGTGGGATCCATTCTCGGCCGGGACCGTGAGGGTGGGGCCACTGTCGGCACGGACATATGCGGCACAGCGCCGTATCTCCTACACCCAGACCCGACACTCCTGCGCCTTTGCGCCTGATTGGCGGCTTGGCCGAGTGAGATGCAATCAATTCAGCCCCCTTCTGCATCGCAGCAATCCGGTACAATGTGAATTTGTTGTGTCGCCTGGGTGAATAGCCGAGCCTCCTGTGAACAGCTCATAGTGCAGAGCCCTGCGTGACCTGAACGCTCCTCTCGATGAGCAAGTCTATCTGCCTCAAGCGTAGACGCATCCTCAAACCGCTGTCAGCTCTCTGACCGCAAAGTCTGAATGTCTAGCCTGTTTACCAGCACAGTATTTTCGGGCCGCCGGTGGCCTTCGCGTCGAAGATTTCGGTTGCCGCATCGCCGTAGAACAAATCGGCCATTACTTTGAATCGCGGCGGGAGCGTTTGTGGCTTCGCCAACTCTGGTGAACTACACAAGCATCACCGCTTAGCCTTTCGCAATCATAACGCCAAAGGAGACTTAGGCGTCTGTGATTTCTCGCTCACCTCCTGCTCGCTGCTGCTCAATGGCTTTCCGCGCAAGAAACCCTTTCCGGCCTCGATGGCCACACGCATCTGGAGATTTTCGACTTCGGTGCCATACAATGCCCTGATCGTCTAGAGCCTAGAGTGCGTAAGATGAGGACAAAAGAGACCATGACCACTTCGATGATCATGTGTAATAACGCTGAATTCGTTCACAGATTCGGCACATCCGCGTCTCGTAAGGTCTGACCCTGCGATGGAGGCATGCTGCGGCAAGTCCGAGAAGCATCATATTCGACGTACGGATCTTTCTCTTTCCAGATGACTCTGGAAGGACAGCGGCTGGTCCGAGAATCAAGTGTAGCAACATGTTCCGCTAGTCAAATCCTTCGCAGCACCTCGAGGCCCCGTAGGTAAGACATCACGCAAAGTCTATCCCCGCAAAAATGTCATCTTATCTCCCACCCCATGTTCAGGTCGTGAAGAATGGCACATCTGACAAGATTTTGCGGGTTATCTGGGGAATCAGGGGAGGCATACGCGTGTAAGTCCTTGGGGTTCCTTCGGCCATTACTCGGCGCGCCCGCACTCGCCCCGCGTTGATATTGCATTGATGGAGAGTTGTCGTGTGGAGGAGATGAGGGGAAGATGGGGAGCGGGCGGGCGCGTCGATCCGGCCGCCCCGCCATCGGCGACGCCTACCGAAAGAGGAAATTCAGCTAAGAGGACACATGCTGGACCCGAAGTCGCCTCAGCTGCAGCGTTTCAGTTTTTACCAATGACGACTGGCGCGTTGTAAGCGGCGCCTGGGGGAGCGCTGTACTGGGGCTGTTGCGTATGTTTAGCCCTTGGCGTTGTAATTCCGTAGAGTCTTGTTGGCTACGCTCGTGTCCTAAGCCCTTGCTTGCCATGGGCCACAGGACGCGGCACATGGAAAGCCTCCCAAAGTCTGCAATCAACTGACTCGGGTTCTTTCAGCCCCCCTCCTTTTCCATTCTATCGGCATCTACGTGGTAGATTCGTCTAAATTTGACAGCTGGGCCTGCATGCATACGGACAAGTAAACTCTCCGTAAAGCACCTTATGACGGCTGACCGCTTCAGTAGGTCGAGTAGCAATGGACATCCGTATGTCCGGGGAATGCGGGATGGATGCAGCAGTCAACTTCATCCCGAGTGACCTGCATTGAGTCTAGCACACGTGGTATCGTCAAACTTCACAACCTTGAAGATAGAGATTCCTTTGGAAAAGTGGTATCTTTGATTCATATCCCGTAATCATGCCGTCGCTATTGGTACAAGCCGTACTCTGTAATCAAACACCAACGCCAACCCCTGAAAATATCCATCCCGCACACATGCCCTGATAATGATAATCGCTTATGACTCAAACATTGAGCTTGGTGCTCTCCATGCCTCCCGCGCCCAGCGTCTGCCCGTGCCGCGCCGCAATCTGCTGCCTAATGATCTCCTTCTCCTCCTGCGCCGACGTGTCGTGGAACACCTCGTCCATCTGCTCGAGCGTCTTGCCCTTAGTCTCCGGGACCAGGTAGAACGCCCACACGGAGGCGAGGAAGCACCACGCGCCGAAGAAGACGTACGTGCCGAAGCCGAGCTGGTCGATCATGGGCGGGGTCGCGACGCCGACGATGAAGTTGCACAGCCAGACGGTCGCGGTGCCGAGCGCGACGCCCTTGGAGCGGTGCGAGTTGGGGTACACCTCGGCGGCGAGGATCCAGCCGAGCGGCGAGTAGGAGATGCCGTAGAGGAGCACGAAGAGGAAGGCCATGGCGACGGCGCCCCAGCCGGCGGCGGGGTTGGCGGCCCAGTCCTTGGAGTAGACGCCCGTGAGGATGGCCATGATGGCCCAGGCGGTGCCGCCGCCGATGCCGCCGAAGATGGCGAGCGGGCGGCGGCCGACCTTGTCGATGATGAAGAAGCACGCGGCGACGGCGACGAGCTGGAGGATGTTGAAGACGCCGGACATGATGAGGGACATCTCCTCGGACTGGCCCAGCGATTGGAAGAGGGTGGGTGCGTAGTAGATGAAGGCGTTGATGCCGCTAGGATATCTGTTAGTAAGGGGAGTTGATTTGTAGTGCTTGTTTTGCATACCTAAACTGCTGGAAGAAGGCGATACCGACGGCAACGGCAGTGCGGCGCCACAACTTCTTGCTGAAGAGATCGCACCAGCCAGCAAACTCGAGAGCGAGGAAGCTCTTGCCCGGGTGGTTGCGCTCCTGCATGATCTTCTGGACCTCGACTTCGGAGATGATGCCGCGGTGCTCGGCCTGGACGCGGTGGTCGTCGGCAGGGAGGCGGCGGAGACGGGTGAGGGACTGGAGAGCCTCCTGAGGTCGGTTGACGAGAGCGAGCCAACGCGGGGAGTAGGGATAGAAGTGGATGCCGATGCCGAGGAGGGTGGAGCAGACCATCTGCAGACCGAGGGGCAGGCGGAAGGAGACTTCACCGGCCATGTGGCGGGTGCCGTAGGTGATGAAGAAGCTGATGACGACGCCGGCGACGATGGAGATGGACTCGAGGACGAGGAGGGTGCCTCGCAGATTCGGTGGGGCGATTTCGGAGATGTAGATTGGTGAGCCCTGTTGAGTGAAGTGTTAGCCTTGTGTGTTGTTGAATCTCACGATGAGTGGTCTTGGTGTTTTGATGAAAGGGGCTCAACTCACCATAGCCAGAGTTCCGACACCGATACCGCCGATTGTTCGGCCAGCGACCAAGACACCATACGACGGAGCCGCGGTCTGCATGATGGCTCCAATGTTGAAGATACCCACGACGACAGTCAAAGCCCTCTTACGGGAGATCTTATCGGCAAGGGTGGGCATGAACAGACATCCAAGGAAGGCGCCGAACTCGAGCATGCCAGTCATGAAGCCCTTGCCAAAAGGCGTGGCGGCGTCAGGGTAGACTGCGTGGAACTGCTCCATCACGTTGATGATGGAGATGACGCCCTGGTCGTAGCCAAAGCTGAAGCCTCCGAGGGAGGCCAGCAGGGCGGCGCCGCCGACGAAGGGCGAGTCGAACAGGCCGCGGACGCCGCCCCGGCCGTATGAGACATCCTCGGCGGGGGTGAGGCTGATCTCGACGGTGTCGATGAAGTCCTCGACGTGCTCGCCGTGGGCGTTGTCGATGCTCTTGACCTTTTTAAGGGTCTGTGAGTCTGGGCTGGTCGACATGATCGTCGTCGATGTCGTGGCACTTGAGGGGGTGTATGTGGTGGTGATGATCAGGATGGGATGGTGTCGATAGGGTTACACCACAGGAGGTTGTGCTCAAGGTTGAAGGAATGAATGGGGGAGAGGGAGCGTGCTTAGAATGAGACGAAACCCAAATGTCAGGTGAGACGAAGCAGAGCGGCTCTTATATATAGTTGAGTTCAAGACTTGGTGTTGAGTGGTCAAATGGACAACCAAGAGGGGGATACCAAGAACAGGATTTCTGGGCTATAGACGGGACCCATCCGTTTACAGACTAGGGGGGCAACGCAAGTGAGGGCGCGAAGGCAGTTCGTGCCATGCTTCTGTCATTTCCCGGCGAAGAGTACACTACGTATGGACGGACGGGCACCAGCATTAACCCTCCCCACCGGCAGAGTGGAACACGGTCCTTGTCGACTGCATCCTCCCCCACGGGGAAGACACCAAAGTGTGGAGACCAACCAAAACCTTCGCCAACCATCGGCGAAAGAGACATTGCTACGGGAAAAGGGAACGAGAGCAGAGCACGACTCTTCGGTCTGAACGTGGTGAGCAGAGAGGGTTAAAGCGAGCCACCATAACAGGGGTGTCTGGTTGGCTGGTTGGGCTGGGCTGCCCACCGGCGAGTTTAGCTGCGGCTGGGCGTCATGACAGCGGACTTGTAGCCGACGTGATTCCTCTTTGGGAACCCATCGGCGAAGGCCTGCGCTTTTCTGTCTGTACCCCGGTCCGTTGTCACACTAGCGGCCATTCTTAGCCATTTTCCCACTGAACTTCTGAGACGCCGAGGACCCGGACAAGGGCATGTGGTTGGTTGGCCTTGGGGATGCTCTGGGCGCAGCGTTCACTCGGCGGAACAAGGGGAGGATCAAAGATAGCCCGCGCAGTGCGTGGTTGTTGAATCAATCGCGCCCCGAAAAAGCCTGGGGGAAATCTGGTTCCTGGGGCTGACGATTGTGGTATCTTTATGAATCTGCTATGACGACATGGGCCCCATTCTCGTTATTCTTGACCGTTGTCTGGGGCCGGGGTGAATCGGGATGGAGTCCCGTGCCGGCGTAGAGATTCCGGAGGTTGAATTGTCACATTATGTGAATAGCGCAGCCAGGCCCCCCAAAGGCCAAGCCCATATCCCTCGGAATTCGCTAGTGCGTTATGTCCCGATCTAGGCATTGATTGGCATAACCCGCGGGATTCAAGGTCCGACGACAGGCATCTTCAATGTACTCCCTCTACACAAAAGGAAGGGAAATCCCATTGACAACTGGCAGCAAAATAGGTCACCCGCGGTCAACTTCAGACGCGATCAGCTGGAGAAGTGATATGCAGTTTTGCTAGGAGTATTTTCCCCCATTGCAACTCCCCGTCGCAATGCACAAGCTCATCAGGGAATTCCACAGAATCAGGAACGAGTCCCCAGCCAAGGACAATCCCTCCTCCGATCCCGCCCGCGTAAACCGCCCTCCCGAATAGGTAATTTCCCGATTTACCCTTTGCGGAACAGGGGGATGAACAGTCAGCAAAAGAACCAAAAAACAACATCGTCTGACTTACATGATACACACAATTGGCTGAGTGATCTGTTGAATGATGGGGCCACAACGACGGCATCACAATTGACCAGGGCGTGCGTCGGCGATGGGATCATTTGCGCCGACCCATCTAAGCCTCATCTTTTTAGTGACCCGTCTTGACCCGTGTCACCGCAGTCCATTCGACCGGGGACCTGGCGCCTACGTCATTAACGAGCGGACCCAGCTGCGATAAGATTGCATCGCTGCGAATACGCAGTAGAACGCGCAGGAACAGCAGCGAAGAAGAAAGAAACGAATGACCGGGCGCACGTTTGGATCAAACATGCACCATGTGACCACGGAAACTGTCCGGACCATCGTGACAGGGGCAGATTATGACGACGAAACACGTTGTTTTTCTACTCTAACGTGTCTACAAAGAGCCTCGTGACTACATCGGAAAACCCCCACGCATCTAGGACATGCAGAGAACCAGGGGTGATCTCTAAAATTTCATCATCGTAGACATTTTCCCTATTCATCATGAGTTAACATCTCCGCGCCTGCCACCTGCTTGGCTGCATATATATAACACCGCCTACAAGCGCGCACTCTCGATGCGCTTGCCCGACTCGTCAAAGTCGATCTTCTTGCCCGTGATCAGACTCTCCTGCAGCGCGCAGCCGATCTTGACGGCGTTGACGGCGCCGACGAGCTTCATGGGCGGCGCGGTGTTGTTTAGGCAGCACGCGGTGAACTCGTTGGCCTCGGTGATGAAGGCCTCGCGGAAGCGGCCGTAGTAGTCGGGCGGGATCTCGCGGCGGATGCCCGTGGGCTCGTACAGGTTGACGAGGTTGAGCTGCGGCTGCGTGTTGACGGCGATCTTGCCGCTCGTGCCAAAGATCTCGGTCGTGTCCTCCTGGCCGGCGGCCATCATGCGGGAGCAGAACAGTTGCGCGATCTTGCCGCCCTATTGTTCGCGTTTTGTTAGTTGATTGATCTACAAGTGTAGAAAACTGTATCAGGTGGGCTGCTTACGTAGAACTCGACAACTGCAACGGCGTTGTCTCTGTCGTTGTGCTTCCTCAGACCCTCCTGCACGGCAGTGATACCAATGGCGGAAACGCTCTTGACGACGCTGTCTTCGCCAAAGAACCACAAGGCCAGGTCGATGTCGTGGATAGAGCAGTCGACGAAGATACCACCGCTGAACTCAGCGTAGTCGACGAAGAACCCTGAGGGGTCGAGCTTGTCGCAGGTCTGGGAGCGGAAGACGGATGGTGTGCCTACATCACCGCGGGCAACTCTCTGGTAGGCGTCGCGGTAGGAGGCATCGAATCTACGGGAGAATCCGCAAATGACCTTCTGGTTGGGGTTCTTGACGAGCGACTTCTCGTAGGCGTCAACGACGGATTGCGACTGTTACGTCGACGGTCAGCAACGCGGAGCTCATATCACATGGATAACGATGGTGAATGGGAAGATGAACATACGATATCGACGTTTGTGCTAAGGGGCTTCTCGCACAGAACGTGCAGGCCCTTCTCAATGGCCTTGATGGCCTGCTCGGCGTGCACCGTGGTCGCGCTCGCAACGATGACGGCCTGCAGCGTCGACTCCTTGCGAAGCATCTCATCGTAGTCAAGGTACGTCCTCAAAGGACCGAACTCTGCGACGGCGGCATCGAGCTCGGCCTGCACTGGTGAGCTGACGGCGATGAGGTTGGCCTTGGGTGTCAGGGTCGCAAAGTGCCTGGCGTGTCGCAATCCTGTTGACCGGTGTTAGCGAGAACAGCTCACATCGGCTCGATCTGAGCCCATGAGCTTCCGCTTCGCCGAAGCTGTGGTAGCTCCTTTGAGCTCACGGGCTCGGGGGAATGCGGGGCGAGACATACCCATGCGACCAAGGCCGGCGACGGCAACGTTGAGCTTCTCTCCGGACATTTTTGTGGGATTTTATGGCTTGAAGAGAACCTAAAAGATTTCTAGAAAATGATTGAGTCTTCCAGAGTTCAATTAATGTTGTAGAAGCTTCAGAATGACGCAGAGACGTTTATGATGATGTAGGAAAATGACAGCGCAGTACAGAGCTCCTCCTACTTCAAGACCATGGGCGATGAAGGGTCTCTTTTAACATCGGCGGCTCCTTCCCTTCCCGGTATCTTTTGGCAGGTTGAAAACAGCTGCAGACCACAAGATCAAGCCGGTCTGAACTCCGTCACCCAAAGATGCCGAATGCCATCTTGTCTTTCGGCGGTCTGGAGTTTCGCAAAGCTGGCCCAACCGCTTTCGAAACAACACGCTCGGGATCTACTATCGGCGCCACCTACCAGATACAGTAATTCCCATCAGCTGCCCCAGGTTTGAATCGCCCCAAGGCCGGCGGTTGGTTTTGCGGGGGAAGACAGCCTTGGAGTGCGGGGTAAATTGGACACATAAGACGGGTTGGTCCTATTCTGTGAAGCGTTACAACGAGTTGTTTTCTTCTCCTTCTGGGCGCTTAATGCACGTTTTCACAATCTGAGCTTCACCCGGCCACGTTTCAACGGGGACGCGGAACCATCGGCGAACAGCGAACCATCTTCCCCACATATTAGCCCTTGCTTTCTTCTTTCTTTAGGAATTCCCTCTTTGAGCAAGCTTCGCCGATGAGGCTGCTCCGCTTCCTTTCCTCCTCCTCGCTCGTCCGCCTATCCCAGCTCCCGCCACCCTTATCGACCTCCACCTCCTCGCCGAACACGGGCCAGCGACGACGGCGTAGGCGAGACTTTCCAAAGCGAGTTCGCCGGAGGAATCCTGCTGCTCACGTCGCCGTCGCCAGCATACCGCGTCAGCAGCAGCAGCCGCAACAACAGCAGCAGCAGCCGCAGCGTGAGGGCCACGGATCCCGCTCACCCCACAGGAGATGCCAAGCGGTACGAGGCCTTGCGCAAGATGCAAAGGTACGTACGTCCCTCTTCGCGCTTGGATTTGGCCTGGTCGCGCGTGACCATTCGACAGGTTCCACTAGTCTGACGTCAAAGGTGTGCAGAGAGACATGAGAAGTGTGAGTTTGAGGCTCGTTTCCTTGGGATGGAGGAGGCTCTTCCCGGATGAAGACCGACCGAATGCCGATAGCGTTCTCGGCCTTGACTCCGGCTGAAGATTCTTGGCGTTTCTTCGATGCCATTGAGCTATGCAGATTTCCCATCTCTGACATTGATTCATTCAACATGCAGGCGACGACCAGCAGCCCCGCTGTAGTCGATGTGAGAAGCGTGGTGTTGAATGTGTTCGCCCCCAACGAAGGCCTTCTTTCCGGCAGGGCTCAGCGGCCAACTACGACGGTGCATTCTCTCAAGAGCAGCGGTGGGTGAACAGCAAACCGAAAGCATGTAAGTCATTCTCTCCCTTTTCTTGTCATCGCCAACAAGTCGGCTGACGCTCTCACGAAGTCCGTTTTGATAGCCGCAACAACAAGACAGGCGGGGGCCCACAGGCCCAAGACACCAACAATGAGTCTCCCATTAGTAACACTACGTCTCTCCCTGATCGCATAGCTGTGAACACCGCCCTCTATGAAGCCGTCCGCAACCTCTCAGAAACACCCGATGTATTGAATCAGGAAAGAAGACTTGACGATATCCAATCACAACGCCTACCAACTCCCACTAAGAGACGAAGAACCGAGACTGTTCCTCATGATGGAGGCCAATTCCTCCCAGCATCGCCATCGGGCTCCGGCACATCGGGTGCATCCCCATGGTCGACGACAGCTCTGCCCACTGGCAGAATCCGCCTGAACGAGGAACCACATGTTCCCAGTCCACACGCCACCGGTCCCTCCGTCACCGTCGATCAGTTCTCCCCTTCAGCAGACAGCTACCACCAACCCAGCGAACACGAGCCCGTCGGCGGCCTGCACACCCACCCGCCGAGCGACGGCATCCAAGAAGCCTGCCTCCTGCGATACTTCACGGAGGAGCTCTCTCAATGGGTTACGTGCTTTCAGAGACGCTTATACCGTGGGAAGTCCAACGTATTAACCGTCTGGTGTAGTTCGATCTCTGCGACGAAGAGAGGCACTTCCAGCTCATCGTCACCCGCCGCGCGCGCGCGTGCCAGCCCCTCCGCGACGCCACCCTCGCTGTCGCCGCGCGGCATCTCTGCCGGCACCCCCGGTTCCGCACGGAGCCCGGTGGGGTGATCGTGTACCAGAACCAGCTCCTGCCGGACCTGACGCCGCAGAGCGCGATTGAGTACATGCTGCGGTGCATACCTGCCCTGCATGAGGTCTCGCGGACGCAGGACGAGGAGTATAGAGAGAATCTGGCCGCCGCGGCGCTTATTTTGCGACAGTTCGAGGAGATGGACCCTGAAGAGGCGCAGAGCGCGACGAGCTCTGATTTTGGAAATGGTATCGGCAATGTCAACTTCCTTGATATCACGAAGGCGATCTTGCGAGCTGCGCCGTCACGGTGGTCGGGGCTGTTGAGTGCCGTGTACTGGGTAGCGGTCCGGCAGGAGATCTACTTCGCCTTGACGCTGGAGCGGTCTCCGCAGATAACAGCGCAACCGCCAGACTTGGACAGAGATACTTGCTTCGCAAACAAGCTCATTTGGTTCATGTCTGAAGTCGCTAAGTGGAAAATGGGAGAAAGGTCAGGGACTGAGTGGGGTAAGTCTCTCGTAACTGTTCTTCAACGTGGATGAGAACGTTCACGGGTGAATTACAGCTCTAACGTACATACTTGCAGAGAGGCTGAGAAACGAGGAGGAGGTTTTGATCGTCGAGGCAGTCCGTCAATTCATACCCATTGTGCAGCGGCCTGCGGACAGGTCCCGAGGTGAGATCTTTCCATTGGTATGGTACGGGTCCGACGTCGAGGTCACCGCTCTGCAACACTTCATCTTGGCAAGGATGATTCTGGTGGCGGAGAACCCTAGTTTACAGTATGAAGCCTCCCAAAAGCCTGTTTTGAAAAACTCTTTACTGCTTGTTCGTTGAAAGCTAACCTACCCGGCGACGCAGCGGGCAAGTGTCCAATCGACGCGCGCAGAGAGACGCAGAACACCAAGTTCGCGCCATGATCCTCGAGCTTTGCGGTCTCGCACTGCATCACCTCAGAGCCCCGCCCAACTTGACCACAGCGGGAATGGGAATCATGCTATATGGCGACTACTTTAATGACCCGTGGGAAAGAACAGCATTGCTGGGGGTTCTTGAGGAATGGAGAAATCAGCACGCATGGCCTGTGAGAAAAGGTTATCAAGCTTTAGGTATATCCAATGAGTGTTAATCCAAATGGCTAGCCGGGAGTCCGGGAGACAGGACGCCAGCTGTCCGGGCAACGGTCGAGGCCCTCTCAGCTTTTCGTTTTCCCAAATATCGTTGCTGTGCCGCCTCGCCCGGGCAGTTTATTGAACCAATCCACTGTTGCAAGTGGAAACACAGCTGCAGCCCGGCCAATTGAGTCTTCCGTAGGTATGTGTTGGTTACCACACCCACCAATTCCTCTCTGTGAAAACTCCCCGAAAACAACAACAGGAAAAAGAAAATGGCATTTTGATCCAAGCTCTTCATTCATAAAGAACCAGCATTACGATGTGTAGAATTTGTCCCCGTCTCCCTCGGCCCGGCATTCCTCCGAGCAGACAGGAGGAGGCCCAGGAGCACATCCGCGACGAAGACCTGGTGGAAACGGCAACGGAAGCAGGATATTTTCATCCACCAAATCCATCGAAGACCATCGTCCAGTCTGCGCCCAGCCATGACGGTGCCGCGACCTTCGCCGCATACGAAGTTTTCAAAGACACCCCAGAAGACTTGAAACCAGAAGACTTTGAAGCCGCAGTCCGCCCTCTGCGTCCCCCGTTCGGTATCGTCATCTACGACACGACGCACACCGCTCGCCCTACCCGCAGTGCCCGGCTCGCACGCGCTGTATTTGACCGCACTTACTGGTATCGTCGCAAACGTAACCACAGACCGGACCGGGTGGAGGTCGTCACGCTACCCCTGCCCCAGTCGTCCACAGATGCTGAGCGCGCGGAGGCTTGTATCCGCCACCACGAGGAGGAGATCCGGAGCCGTTTGTTAATACCTCACGAGCCCGAGGCGGTCTCCTGGTTTCTGCCGGAGCGTATCATGGATAGCACCTACGCGCGGAGGATCCTTGCTATCAACCGCTTGGAAGAAAACGATTATGACGAGGAAGTCGAGGTAGCGTCCTGGGAGGAATCGATAAGCAACGAAGAATACGCTATCGAGTGTGAAGCTTGTATGAATCCCGAGGCGAGCCGTTCTGGCAGTTTTCTTTGCATCGACTGGCAGCCCCGTAAGGAGCTGTGGCGTTCACACACGGGTCGAGGTTATAAGCCGGATATGGATAAAGAGATCATCACCCCCTGCTATGGGTTTGAGATGTTTGGGAATATCTGTATGGAGTTAGTGGATGCGGTTGAAGTCTTTTACAACCACTTTGTACCTGATGGCGTCCTCGACCTAGAGTTAGAGAAGGCTAGACGAGGTTGATTATGTTGCTTTCTATACGTGAGGAAGCGAGAGCCGAAGTATTTTGGGCTGATGCTGGTAGTGGTGGAAAGTGGTGGTCTGCGGCGTGGTACCCAGTTGCATGCGCTGGCTGCCGGCTGAAGAACCGGTCTCTTCGGACCTACCGATCGATTTACACCAGTCTTCACAAGCCGACATGTACCTCCAGCTTTCTCAGTCTACACGAATCGTCTGAAGCCTCTGGAAACAAGAAAACGTACAAAGATTCGCTGTTGATGCATCTCACTGTGTTCGTATATTTCCCTGCGCCACTATCTTTGTTTTAGATTTCAAACTTCAAACTTCTTCATACCTTTTTGTTGATGATCGCAATTCAACCATAGACATCATATCAGCAGCTATTAGTCGAGCAATGTACTTCTAAAACCAAAGCTTCCTATAATTCTTTGATTATCACATTATATGTTCACGGACTGCTGTATGGCAGGCGACGCCAAGTGCGAAAAACACCGAACTGGGGAAGCGCTTAGTGCCGCGAGACTCAAATTGTGCTAGAGAAAGAGGTAAGTCTCGTACTAAGATGGTGCTCAGATTTATCCGGAAATAGGGAGTGAGAGCTAGCCTTGAATGTCTGCAGGTTTTCATAGACGGACGGAGGAATCCACCCAAAATGTCGAACCCAACGCACGGGGTTTTAAATCATCCTATTGAACAACTTTAATTCTGTTACATCTGCAGTATCATTGTCACCCGCTTGATGGGTGATCAATACACAGAGTACCGGAAGGTTCCAGTCCCCACTACGGGGAACCATTGGGATAAGTCCACCAACCTCGCCTGGGCTGCCTCCAATAACAAGTCGCCATGAAACGGCAGGGTTGTTGCATGATTCCGTGACTCGACTCAGCTACAGGCGCCCTCCCATAGGTCGATATCGAAAATACTTAGTCTTGCTAGTTACATAAGGGAGTAGAAAGTGATATCCTGAGCGAACACTACGTCTCTTAGCTTGCCAGCTTGATGATAATATAAACTTTGATTCGATATATATTTCTAATTCAGAACGCGGGACTATCCGCAGGGATGGGCTGATCGACTTAAACCTAGATTGCCTGCTGTCTTGAAACTTCGCGAACGTAGTTCCTGATACCTTTTCCATTCTTTCCCGTACTATACTGTTTTCCGCATTGCCTTGCCTAAACGCTAAATCACTACCCTGACACGCAAGAAAGCAACGTAAGTTGTGCTCCTTATCAACGAATACTACTGACCTCATACTACGTAGGATAAGCCATGAAGTTTGCTTTCGTACTCACCTTGATGGGCCTGATTGCTACCGTTCAAGGCGGATGCCAATTTTCGTCAACCTAATTATGGGACGTGCGCATGCGGTTCGACTGGAAAGAGAGATGACGACTGCTCCGCGTGCTGAATGTGATTGTCTGGGGATCAAAGATTTGGCGTTCGGCATAATCGTGATCTTATGCAGTAGCTCGATCGAGTAGCCAGTGAAAGACTTTGATACAACTCCTCGCGAACGCCTACATATTGGATATTCCTGAGGGTTTACGCAAATTAAACTCAGTGATATTCAGATATACCGGATCCGGAATCCAAGCTCGCTAAGAATTGGAAATAAGTCCGGTGTACTGGGCGGTAAAGCTCGGATGCGCGTGTACATTCTCATTGCCCCCCCGTCTTTACTGCTACACTTACTTCTTGACACTTGCGCCCGATGCTCGTAGCTGACTTATGAGGCCACTTCATGCACCTCCTATCATTGCCGAAGCTTAACTTCAAACGGACGCCAACTAGCGGCATAACAGACCCATCCGGTGTCACTCTGGTGCTGGTTTATGATGTCGTGGACGTGTCAGGTGCTGCGCGCAAATGGGGCCCCAATCAGGAACATGCTAACAGGATGCAAATATCTCAATGGCCGATTGGTCCGCAAGTCAACGGGGAAGTGGATGCCACCGGGGGGAGCACTCTGGCGCGGAAGCCTAGAGCTCCTACAAGCGAGCTGAGACATTTAGGCCAAGTCCCGCGTCTATGATAAATGACATTGTAAAACCAGACTGTCTGGACGATCTGCCCTACGCATATTTCGCCTATCCCACACCAGGTATGCTGTCATGATGACGATAAGTAGAGGTAAGGGACGGCGAGATACAGCCAAAGCCCTGGCTTAAAGTCCAGTCTTATTAGCCCGTTTTCTGACTTGATGTCGATGTAATCCATGTCGAGAAACCCCTGAGTCAAGTTAGTCTCATGACATTCTGATTTTGGCTAAGAAAGGTATGCGCCCACTTACAGCAACAAAGGTAGGGGGCAGGAAGCACAAAGTTAATAATGCTATGACCTTCATGGTACCGAGGTGCTGTTGCTGCTTTTTCCCCTGCTGTGAAAACCCTACTGGGTGGGCTCGAAACTTCCTCATAAGATCTCTCGCCGTGCTTGCAATTGTGTCTACGAAGCGTAGAACATCTTTCAGCGACTCAAACTTTCATGTGGTGCGCTATATCATCAAAACGAGGCATCATACATAAACAGCGAGTAGTCAACTGCTGCGATCTGCCATTTACAAGTTTGATAACATAGTGGAACCGCTCAACTCCTTTCAACAGACTTCAAGCCGGCTCAGGTACTTTTCCACTTCTAGGCAACAATATGCGTGGAAGTGGATCAGGTCGTTGGTCCCCGTACAGAGCAACGTGGAAAGAGACCCATCACTCCGTCAACACGTTTCCTCTGCCTATAAAGTGACACCTCCAACCAACCAAGAGGGAAAAAACCACCTTTACCACAAAACAACAACACCGACAAGCACAAACAAACCCCTCAACTTCTCACACTCACATCCCATACTTCAATCATGTGCCTAATCTGCAACCGCAACATCCGCCGCAACGACGGCTGGAAACCGCCCCCGCTGTCCGAAGACGACGAGGAGGACGGCCCTCGCCCAGGATGCTACACCCTACCACCCCAGAAAACAGTCGTCCAGCCCGCGCCCAGCCACTCCGCCCACCCAACCTTCGCCGCTTACGAAGTCCCAGCAACAAACCCCGAGACAGAACCCTCCCTCCGTCCACTCCGTCCCGCCCTCGGCTGCGTCGTCTACGACACAACCCCCACCGCCCGGCCACCCCGCAGCGCACGCCTCGCGCGCGCCTTATTCGACCGCACCGAGATGTCCCGCCGCGGCGACAAGTCCCACGACGCGCCAGACCGGATCGAAATCGTCACCTTCCCCCTGCCAGAGACCGCCTCAAACCAAGAACGCGCAGAGGCGTGCGTCGCCCACTAAGAGCGGGAGGTTGAGAGTCGTATGGCCATGGCCGACAAGACCGAGTTGGTCTCGTGGTTCCTGCCTGAGCGCTTTATGGATAGCTATTACTCACGAATGATCCTGGCGATCAAGAGGTTCGAGGTGGACGACGATGACGACGTTGAGATCGCGTGTTGGGAGCCGGCGCTAACTCGGGATCGTTTCGCCATGCCGATGAGAAGGACCGATGAGGGCCGCTATGGCAGCTATCTCCTCATCAAATGGTTGCCCCAAAAGGAGCTATTTGCTGAAGTCGACAACCCGGGTTATACCGCTCAAAAACGTGTTGTCTGCAGTGGTGAGATTGCATTCCAAAATATTGGTTCAGGCCTCAGGGACGCGACAAATGAAGTTGCTGTGTTTTACAACCACTACGTCCAAGATGGTTTACTCGACCAACACCTAGAAAAAGCAAGAACAAGTCGATAGACTCTGTGACTCTGTCAAATAAAGAGGAAAGAGATCATCACCATCGTGTTTAAGACACCAAAGAAGAATGCAACTGATGGCCATGGGACAGCGATGATGAGACGGCTATAAATGAGACTGAAGTAATATTCCATTACATTATCTGTATGATATATTTCGCCCTGATCCGATAAACTCTGCATTGCTCTCTCGACAAAAGCCAACCGTGGAAACCAAGCATATTACTTGGTATTATGGAGAATCGAACGGCCGTGCTCTTTTGCCATACCTGAGCCGCTTACCTTTTCCAGCATCCATCTCCCGACCCCGCAGCCGAACATAGAATTTTGAGGCCCTGTTCCAGGGGTCGCGAACTTATGAAGCGGATACTTCTGGGATCCACGTCTGGACTGTTCTGAATGGCAACTGTTGGTTTACTCTACAGAGCAAGCAGAAAGAGCGGCCGAGAGTATGAGCAAGAAAACTTATAATACTCCAAGTCAAGGCGCAGCTGAAGGTGGTTGACTGTGGTTGAGCCAAGCATTCTGAACGTTGCGATGCCAATGTCTTGAAACATGTTCATTGACGCGACCAAAATCAACCCATCCCCTGTCCGACTACAGCGAGAGTCAATGACAGTCCCACTGTCAAAAGTTTAGCGCCAACAGCCCCTTGAACTGACCCCATCGTCTTCCATGTCTATTGACACTCTCACCAGCTTAGCGCCAACAATATCACACCTTGATTCCCAAGGGCCCCCTGTATACGGAATAGACTGTGGCCTGATATCGTGTCCGTCGTTAAAAGCGCTTAGATGCGCAAATGGCGAAGGCGGTGCTTGCTGCCTACGGAGAGTGTGCTTCTTCAACTGACGCTTGATCCACCTGTATCCTTCCTCACTCGCGTTCTTTAACCTCCAAGCATCAGAACCGAAATCAGTTTCTCACAATAGGTAACAGAAAAGAAAACATGAAGGCCATCCGCTTCTCCCTTTCAGCCGCCGTCTGGGCGGTTGTTGGCTTCCGCCAGGTCCTGGCTGATGTCCGCATCCCGGCTATTCCCCAAGGCAGGGAGGGTCTCACCGATATTTGCATTAGGGTTCTCAACCAAGCGCTCAACTGCGACGCCTCTCTGAACTGGGCGACTGAGACCAACAATTTTTACAGCAAGAAGACTATTGAATTGCTCTGCACGTCCAATTGCAGAGCTTCTCTCGACGGGTACATGGAACAGGTGAAGTCCGCCTGCGAGACAAGCCGGTACGCTGGCCGTGATGGCTTCAGCTACCACGCCGGCTACACCGCTCAGCTGGTGTGGGAGAGGTTCAACATACTCTGCACGTCCAATCCGTACGCCAGCCACCATAATCCATGCCTCTGCTGCTCGAATACGCGACTGACACTGACGAACAAAACAGTGCCGGTGAAAACTGCAATCTGCTCCTGGGCAATCTGGCCGGCGTCGATCCCGAGACCCAACAGCGGACAGCCGCGGGTGACCCGAGTCTGATGTGCAACGATTGCGCCCTATCCGTCGTCAAGACCCAGGTCGAGATGCCCCTCGCGTCCAACGCCGATATCTCCAGCGCCCTCAGCTCGATCGCGTCGTCCTGCAAGACGACGGTAGCCGTCACCCCGCCCCCGGCCGCGAGCCCTCCCTGGGTCAAAGTCGGCACGGCTCCCATCGCAACCTCGACAGCGACGTCTGCGTGTGCCGGCAAGACGTAAGTTCTCCAGGACGGAGACACGTGCCAGTCCGTCGCGGAGAAGCAGCGCATCAACACCGCTCAGCTCCTGATGGCGAACAACCTCCTAGCCGGGTGCTACAACTTCCCCACCGCCGTCGGCACCGCGCTTTGCATTCCCTCGGCGCTCACGTGCGATCCGTACATTGTGAAGAGCGGCGACACCTGCACTACCATCGCCAACATTGCCAAGGCCACGTGGGCTCAGATCGTGTCCTGGAACGCGGACCTGGGGAGATCGTGCCAGAATGTGAGACGCTACGCCGGCAAGGTGGTCTGCATCTCGAACCCGGGAAGCACCCGGGCTGGGTCCGGCTCGGGCATCACCGCTTCCAAGACATCGACGGCGACATCCGCCATTGAGTAAGTGGCTTTCTGTTGATTCTTTTTCGCTTTACCGCTTGTTTCTGCCTTTGGAGACAGGACGCAAGCAATCTTAACGGCCTCGATGCGAGTTGACTGACGTGTTGCTTTTTTGTTTATAGCACGGTGTTTACTCTCTCGATGAGACCGATCCCGATGGACAACGGCCACACAAACGTCATCATCACCGACATGTGGGCTGGGAACGATGAAGAGGAATTGTGAAGCGCTGGTCTCGGCGCAGAAGACTCGTGATGTTGTTGAGATGACCAGCTTTATTAGGGCAAAAGGGGATGTTGATAAACTGGCAGAGCGAGTTGTGTGAGAGACCACACTCTGTGGGGTGGTTGCTGCATCAACCAGTGGCAAATCGAGAGAAGGTGACAAGATTTCATGTCATCACTGAGAAGACTCGACACTCAGGCAGAAGTGATGGATAGGTTGAACAACGAATGTTTCGGGACTGTTACTCGCCCACAGCTCTAGGGTAGCTACATAATCAGGGCACTCATCCATCAATATCATCGGGCGTACGAGAAAACCAAAGTCTACCCAGGAATGAAATTGAAAGAAGGCTGCTGAAGCACCGCAAGCAACCAGACAGTAGGTCGTTTCTCCGTCTGGTTGGTTAGTGCAACCTCATGTTGCCTTGATCCAGTTCACTGCCTTTTTGGCCCGGCCCAAGGGAGTGAGCAAACAGTCAGGGGGTCGTCCTCACCATCGAGTCGGGTCAAACGCAGGCTTGTTTGCTTTTCTTTTCGCTTTCCCTTATTTCACTGCAAATCAAATCGATCCGAAAGGGAAGTTGACTGGCTGAAGACTTTGAGACTGACCACTGTTGTTGTGGTATTTACAAGAGTGAAAGGGGCTGGTACTCTGAACAACATACATGGACGGGTGTTCCTGAGTTAAATTATCTTTCAAACTTCTCAATAAATCATTGATTCAAACAATGTGCTGGCCAGCTATTAAGTCCAGTTGAAGGAGAACTTTTGGAGACGTATGGTTCATGTGCTCACCAAATCCCCATCCAAAGAATTAAGCTAGCGTTCATTGGTACTGATAAATCATGTTTTCTAGACGAACCTGTCAATCGACCAGGCTTTCTGGAATGAGGCGAACATGACCTCTGCCAAGGGAACAGCCTCTTGCCAAGATTACATGTAGTGAGCAGATGAACGCATAAGCAGGCTGGCACCTGTATTCTCGGACTGAGCCGACTCCCACGTCAGCAACCATCAGGTCTGCAGCCTGATGTTTAGGTGCTGAGCAACAATAAAGGCATCCAGAAGGAGGAACATCCTCCGTAGAAGCCATTTCTTGGTCATCAGCTAGTGCACATGATCAATACCTGCGCCCGATTAATATTGACAACGTCAAAAATTCTCCGTACATGTACGCGGACCTTTGGAGTTTCGGTCCGCGGAGCATGCTATTGACACAACTCGCACAGGTGCTCTTTTGAGGTTCCAGTTGAAGTTGATATAAATGCCCTGACAATTGCAACTTGATTGTAGTCTGAAAAGATCCCAGCATGATCGTGTCCTGTAAACAACTTGACCACACTTGAATCATGCGCCGAGTACTCTTCCTCTCATTCCTAGCGCTTCTCGCAGAGGCGCAGAAAGTGGGCGACCTCCAGCAAGAGATCCATCCTAAGCTCTCCTGGAAGCAATGTACCAGCTCCACCTGCGACACAGTCCAAGGCGAAATCACCATCGACGCAGAATACCGCTGGATCCACGTCGTCGACGACTGGCACAGCTGCTTCGAGCGCCAGGAGTGGCAGACGGACTACTGCAACTCGACCCAATCCTGCACCGAGCGCTGTGCCATTGACGGCGCCTACTACCCCGGCTACGGCATCGTGACCAACGGCGACTCCCTCTCCCAGCAATATGAGACGCCGATCGATTTCAGCAAGAGCCAAAACTCCAGAGTGTTTCTGATGGAGGACGGTGGGGATAAGTATCAGACGTTCTCGCTGCTTGGGAACGAGCTTGCGTTCGATGTTGACTTGGGGACGGTGCCGTGCGGGTTGAATGGCGCATTGACGTTTTTGGCCATGGATGCTGATGGAGGACTGGAGAGATATGAGGGGAATGAGGCGGGTGCGAGGTATGGGACGGGGTATTGTGATGCCTCGTGTACGAGATCGGTGAGGTTTGTCGGTGGTGAAGTGAGTCCTTCCTGGTCATCGGGAGTGAAAATCATGGGTAACATTGACGTGTCCCCAGGCCAACTTCGACGGTTGGCGTCCGTCCGCTTGGGATCCCCTTCGAGGCGAGGGCAACCGCGGCGCATGCTGTCCCGAGTTTGATGTCTGGTAAGAGGCCTTGATTCGTGGCATGGCATGGCTCATCGTCGTAGGAACTCCAACTCCAGAGCTTTCCAGACGTCGTCCAAGATATGCAGCCGCATAGACTCCTATGCCATTTGCGAAAACGGAGCTTGTGGCGAGGACCGCCTGCGGCAGTGCGACAGTGATGGCTGCGACTATAACCCATACAGGCTTGGTGTCACGGACTTTTACGGCATTGGAGGGGATGTGGATACATCGAAGAAGTTCACGTATGAATATTTAGTGCCCTTTTCTGACTGAGAAATATGTCTAAGCTGATGTTTCTTCAGAGTCGTCACCCGGTTCGCGGAGGACAAGATCACCAAGTTCTTCATCCAGGACGGCAAGAGAATCGATGCTCCATCCCCGGCTCTGCCGAACTTTCCTGATGTCAATGGATTGAGTAAGGACTATTGCCGGATCAAGACAGTGGAGTTTAGTGAACCGGATATCTTTGAGGCTCTCGGAGGCGTGGCCCGCCAGAACGACATCCTACGCCGGCCTATGGTGATGGCGCTGTCCATCCAGGATGATGTACGAAGCCTTCTTCTGTCTTTCTAAGATTTGAGAAACTCAACTGATGTGGCATCGCCCAGTACTATGCTTGGAACCTTTGGCTCGATTCCACCTACCCCGTCAACACAGGCAATTATCCTGGCGTTACTCGCGGTCCTTGTCCGTGGCAGGAGAATGATCCGAATGACTTGGACGTGCAGTGGGGTTGGTCCAAAGCGTAAGAATCGTTCGTGCCTACTGGAGGACCTGACTAATCCTGGTGTAGCAAGATCGCGTGGTCCAATATCCGCTTCGGGCCTATTGGATCTACCACCAATATCTGATGATGTACGATGGGATGGGAACCTTCTCCATGACGATAGGATCAGTAGAATGGAACATGGGTATGATTAACGCTATCGCGGTCGACTTCACATGCATTTTAAGGCAGGCATCATCTCGAACAACCATCATTTAGACCTAGACAGTCTTTACCTCAACTCCTTCGCATCAACCCAGTTCCCATGCAGCCCCGCTCTCAGCCTCATAGGCACTTTAACCACTGCCGCCGCCTCCGTGAACTTCCGTGTATCAATTACGTGCAACTCACTAGACATGGTCTTGTAATTATTGACCAGCACCACCAGAAACCCGTCTCCCTCAGCCGCATCCTCCCCCCTCGGCACAAACACCGGCTCCTGAACCATGTGCGTGGATCCAGGGTAGTACACCTCCAACTTCCCCGTCTCGTGATCCAGGTGGCCCAGCGCGTTGTACAGCGGGTGTCCGCCGCCGAGCACGGGCATGATGGCCGCAAAGTCGGTCCCCAGCGACGGGTCCATCATGTCGAACCAGCTGTGGCGGTGCGCCTTGGTCGCGAAGCGGTCGTCGATGCGCGGGAACTCCATGTCGTGCTTGAGGATCACCGTCGGCTTTGGCAGGTCGAGCGAGTGCTCCGTGGCCGTGGGGTCGAACTCGAAGCGGACGTACTCGGCGTGGATGTCGTGCGGGTCCGGGGCGTTGCCCTCGGCGTCGGGCCACCAGAAGAAGACGTTCTTGTCGGTGAGCGGGAGGTCGAAGACGATTTTGCCGGCCGGGGTTTCGTAGGCGTTTGTGGTGTGGCCTGGGAAGGCGTTTGGTGCGCGGAACCACTGGATGGTAATCAGTCAGTTGTTAAGTGGCGGATATAGGAGTGGTATGTGTTTACCTTGACATCGCTGCCTTGGGCTCCGCGTCGGGGCAGGACGCCAATGTATATGGGGACGTTCGAGTCCCATTGCCAGTGCTCGCCTCCGGCTTTTAGTCTCTCAATGTCGCAAATCTGAGGTATCATAGGAAATAGAACCTGCCAATATAATTAGCAAAGTGATGAGGACCCGGTTAACTTCGACATACCCAGTTATCCGTCACCGCAAAGTCATGAATCATCCCAACCACCGGCGCTATCAGCCACACAGTCTGGTTGAACTTCCCATCTGCGTCAATACTGAAGTAACACACGTCGGGCGTTCCGTCACCCTTGGCCTCATACCCAAAGCACACGAGCTCGCCCGTGACAGGGTCCAGCTTGGGGTGTGCAGTGAAAGTCAGGCTGGGCAGCTGGCCGTCAAAGTCGCACGGGCCTTTGGTCTCGAGGGTGACGGGGTCCATGAGATAGGGTGCGGCGTCCTCTTTGATGGCGAGGAGAGATTTGTTGAAGTAGTAGATGTTGGTGTTGGCTGTTGTGCGGACTTTGAACTCTACTGCGTCGGTGTATTTGTTGCGGTATTTTCCTATGAGCAGTTGGTGTTAGTGACATTCAGGCTATATTAGTGAAAATGTCATCAGGCGAGGAATTGATAATTACCTGCCAGCGCTCGATTTGCTTCTCGTTCTCGAACGAATTTCTCCGTCCTGACGTATTTTTGCTGGAAATCAACGTTGCCATTGTGGAAGCTGAAAGCTGACACATTTCCGTCACCATTAAACCACTACACAAAACAACAGGTTAGCAACAATGCTAGCCAAATAAAATCGCAAACACTTATTCATCGTGAAATAGAGCTTACAGGATCATTATCAATGAAGGGGGGAAATTGCGGATCCGGCATGACGCGGTAGAAAGTGCCGTCCAGCTCGGTCGGCACAGTCCCGGCAATCTCGAGGTTGCGGACCTCGCCCTCGAACCGGCACGGCTTCATGAAGCCCGAGAACTGGGGCCGGTCGGGGAAGGATTTGGAGGGTGGGGCCGTGGCAGCCGCCAACGAAGCACGGAAGTGGCCGGCCATTTTTTTTTCTGATGTGAGCGGAAATCGGTGCTTGCTGCAGCGGATACGAAATTGGCAGCTATCGCAACGCAGCGTAACGAGAGCGAGAGCGGAAAAGCGACGAGGTGTGGGTGGGAAAGACTGGAAGGTGTCCAAAGCTCCTTATCAACATCCGGGGGGTGGTCGGTTGTGCTGGCTTTGCCTGTGTCTTGAGGGAGCGTCTTTTTAGGTTTGATTCCGTGGAGGAGAGAAAGTCTAGCTTTTTAAAGTATTCGCCTCCCGTCTCAGTCGTTGTTCTCACAGTCCGGGGTACGGGCATTTTTCTGGGCGAAGGCACCGCCGCGGGCACTCCCCGCGTTGCATGTTATGGTAGATATGCCGGGACCCCACACTCCCCGCCGGCGGCGGCTAGCCCCGCGAAGAAACGTGGTGCCAAGCTACATCGGTCAGGACTTGCGATTTTCTTGCCCGCGTATGACGGCTCCCACCGAATTTTGGATTATGGATGACGGGATTCGGCAGAGTCTAACGGCAACTCTGCCTGTCTCTTTCCCTCTGCACATGCTTTTTTTGCCATCTCATTGCATTGAGTGATCTGCGTCGCTGAGACCACCGGATCGTCCCATGATTCAGTTATCGGGGACCGACACCGACCCGAGCTAACTACGAGAGACTCGGCTGTGCTGAGAATGGACCTACAGACGTGAGGTCGGCGGCGATGCCCAGGCTTGCTTGACCATTGAGTGAGATGCCATTGGTTCATCTGGGAGAACGGTGACCGGGGCCGATTCCTATCTCCCCGGCCAGGCTGTGTAAAGTCCGCGGGACCCACATCTGTCAGCGGCCCGGCGGACATCTACGGCCGTGCAAGGCCGATGGCAGTGATATAAAAGTCGGCACCAAGCACCAGGCTACATTGTGCTTCTCTTTTATATTCTCTCATTGGATCATCTGCGACTTTTTGACGGCGGCAGCTTTGTAACAGGACTAAGGAGCACAATATGGTCTGTACTTGACATGTGGGATGTTCAGCAGGCAGTCCGTCAGAAATACCTGTTTTTGAACTTTGTCACCATCATGACTTAACAGGTCGCAGAGTTGAGGAGAATGGTACTGATGTATTACCTGATACTAAGATATGTGAGATGGCACTGTGATAATGTGTCACTTTGCGTTACCAACGTCCCAACCGCACCTTACGGTGGACCATGCAAGGCCACGGGACTGAGAGCAGCTCATGGATTTCAAGATCGGTTCCGAAAATATTTGTGAATAAAACATGCCGCAGTCATCATGGTGATCTGACACAGTGACTTGGAAAGAGAAGAGATGGAGAAGAGAAAGCAAATCCCAACAAGGATTTTTAACAATGCCAATTAATTGCTATTAAAATTGCATATGAAAACGTTGTGACGGCAAACCAAGATGCTAAAGCCGTCTGTTGCAGCATTGACGTATTACATGATGTTAGGTTCTAGTACTAAATGACCATTGATTAAGTCAATCTAGAACACCGAATACATGGTACGCGTACATTTAATGTGTAATACTGCTCGTATCATACAATTCGAGGAAAATATCTCAGCTACAAGAGACAAACACATCTTTCAACCAACACAACACCAAGGCCAAAACCTCGCTGAAAATACCCACACAAAGATGACGAACACCATCCTCTCTATTCGTACGATCAGAGCCCACCTGTGGAGGTCCCCCAAAGACAGAAACTCTGACATCCACAGCCCACCCCTTTCTTCTGCCCATCCTCATCAACCCTAACCCCCAGCCGAGAAACGCCAAAACGCCAGACATCCAGGAACAACTTCGCAAAAGCCCCATACAAAGCTTAACCCGACAAGCTTCAAATGTGTGCCCGTCTGACGCCCTCTCTGCGTTAACGCCACCAACCACGTAACCACATCCAGCACATCCTCATTTCCCTGCCCTCCCCCCCCCCCCGGGGCCAGGCTTCGTATTTGGGATAGGCGTGACGGGGAAGGGAGAATACAACCTTACACGCTTTTTTCTTAGTCTAGTGTAGCTTTTTGGTCTCGGGTACCTGATTGCACCATCAACCGAACGATCTAACATCGGACCAACCCCATTTTCTCTTCCATCCCGGCACAACACGTCTGCCTACCTACCCGTGCCGTCACCGAGAGAGAGAGAGAGAGAGAGAACACGCGCGGGCGCGCGCGCGCGTATGAACCCACATCACGACTACCACCCCGGCCCCTTCATTTTACTGTACCACACTCTTGGGTTTTGGTTTGCCAAAAACGCCACGGATAGACAAGCATACAAGCCACATTGTAAACCCAGCTCCAGCTAGCGCATCTCCCGTTCGGCAAACCACGCTGCAAAGCTCCACCCCGAGGGAAGAAAAAAGGTCCCCCAGCTCCAGTATCCCCCACATTCCGACCCAGTTCCTCGTCATCCTCCCTTTCCATATTGAGTATTCCCGTGGGCTCCCTTTCTTTTTTTCTCTCTTTAATATCGAGGGAAGGGTAGATAACATATGATCGACACATAAACCGCGTGGCTTTTTTTTTTTTTTTTTTTTTTTTTTTTTTTGGTTCCTTCGGACAAATTTGCGAACCCGAGGTCCAGAATTATCCCGACTGGGGGGGCTCTTCTCTGTAATAAGTTTCGGATCCGAGTATAACACGTGACACAGATCGAGATATCCGCGCGGGAATTCAATACCATCGGCGCCTGCGTTCCTTTCCCTTTCCCTGCCGTGCAAAATTGCCGCTGTCCGTAAACCACCACCGCAAGCTTCACGCTTGGCTGTTCATCTCCCAAATCATGCCAATAAAGCCACTCACCACTAGCTCAACACTTTAAACCAAACCTTCTCAAGGTGATAGATAGTAAAGCAATAGGAACGAACACCTACCTCCTGTGAAATCTATCCGAACCACAACCTCAGACACATAACCTCCCCTCGATACCCCACACACACTCTCTCTTACATGGCAGCAGCATATGTGCATATGCAGCTTTTGCACTGCCGGATTGCCAAGCCGCCATCCGGCGCCGACTTTCCATCAATCTGTGTCGCATTTTGGGCAGTTCCTTCTGCCTTACTGGCCTTCGTACCTCCGCCGGCGAACGGCGGCGGCGGTTGTCCTCCTCCCTTCCTTGCCCGCCCTGCTGACTACATCCTGACCGAAGAAACATCGCCCTCACCCCCAATTCCCGCCTTTCATCTCCTAGCCCTGCGCCCATCGAAAACCTCCCTCCATCCCTCCCACAGCACGTGCCTCCGCCAAGACCGCCTGCTCACGACATGAAATGATGCTCAGCGAGCTTGCGCAATCCCATCAATTAACCTGCCCCCATTCTCAAAGGCCAAGACCTAACCACTTAGCCTCCTGTCTATCAACGTTGTGCACCATTACCTTGCTGCACATCTCCCATCGTAACACGTAGGGCCGTCACAGCCAAGACCCCCTCCCATCCGCCCGGCCAAGCCCGGCCGTTCCTCACCTCCTGCACGGCACGCAGCAAAAAAAAAAGACCACCAAAACCGTCGCAGCTATTTGAGAAACCAAGAAGATCCCTAACCCAGGGGATGGAGGGGCCACCCGCGCCAAGCGAGCCAACAGCAGCAGCCGGCCAAGACGTCCTAATCCCAAGAATAAACGGGCAAAGGCGGCCACGGTCCACGGAGCCCCAAACATTGGATGAAAACAAGAATTAACCGGGGCGCCTATCCGTCGCCTTCTGGGCTTCAAACCCGTCTTGGCTTGTTTTACGCGCTGACTAACGAAACATGGAATCCACACTCGCCCCCTCCCCGACGCAGTACAGCTGGAGCGGAGATCGTCAGCAAGTCAAGCGGTTTGCTCACCGACAGATTGACTCAATCATCACCAGATAGTGCAGTGCAATGATGTAACAGTTGAAAACGTTGGGTTGATTTTTGATTTTGCTTCTAATCCTGCGGATATGGCTTGTTCAAGCTCGCGATCCGAAGCCTCCCATCTTCTCGCCCGTCTCGATGGAGCAGGCGGAGAATACAAAGAATCTTTTTTAAACTTCTTCGACTCATCAACTCCATTCGGCCAGATACAAAGTCCATCTGGTGCCCATCGTCGCTCATGCAAAAGATTCGAAGATGCAAGACGAGCCAGCACACGTGTAGCTCCCTGAACGCCTCCCCAGGAGGAGCTCGGCGTCGTTTTTTGGGCGAGCCAGTACTGTCCGCGGCTCCAACCCCCGATCGCCGGCTCTCTCGCCTTCCCTCTGACCCCGTGACGCGCGGGGTTTGGTTGTATATAAAATGACCAGGCAAGCCCTGCCTTTCCCATGGTTGCGCCTTGTGCCGCCAGCTTCCAGCGAACATCCAAGTGGATTTTTGAACAAAGAAAAAGGAAGTGAAACAAGTAAATGATTTGGTAGTAGATACAGTCCGTACTCCGAACCCGAGAGACCCAGGTGGTATCGATAGGTTGAAAGTGACAGTGGAGGTTCGACGGAGGCGTTGTGGTTTGGTACGTAGGCACGGAGCGCCGGTCTATAATGCGTTTTTTTCGATGTATCGAATTTAAGTAGATTAGACATAGAAAATATTATCATTGTCCTGATTGTTGGTAATGCACATTCGTGCAACGCGCCGCTCACCATCGTGGGCGAATGGCGGACGACCATGAGGCCGAGAGGTGAAGGACCCGGCACCCGCTGGGTATCTTGAAAAAAGTAGCGGATATTGCCAGATCGCAGAAGAATTGGCCTCAGGTCGGCGAGACTTAGGTCGCATTCAGCCGCCGGTAGATCAAGTAGTGTTCGCAGACAATAGTGCTAACATTTCAGTGGTGTTGGTTCGGGTTGTGCGGGGGGAACTGGTTATTCCTCGCGCGGGCTTGGGCCGCAAGGTATTCGGCGGATCCCGTTGTCTGGCGACCAGGTTGCTCAGCGGGAAGCTTGGTGTCCTCGCGCCTCTGCTGAGGCTGCGCGACAGGGACGTTGGTCGAAGGGCTGGGCATGCCCGGAACGAGGTCGGTGACGGCCTGGGC